AAATTCCAAAATTCCAAGTACAGAGAAACTTGCATTACAACGCCAGAGAGAAGGAAATATATATATATATATTTTTTTTTTCGTCTATTTTTCGGGTATTTTCAAAACGTAGCTGAAATTAAAATGGAACGCAATGTACATCTGCGAAAAAACTCTGGCAACAGAGTTTACAAAGCATCTGGTAAGCCGCCGTTAATGAAAACTTCGAAAAGGAAGGTAAACGACAACGATGGCTGGGAAACACCGTCGTCACGTCGTGGGCAAACTTCCGGACGGCAGTCGAGTCTTCCGGATTCATAAATCGACCTCCTCCGCTAACCACAGTCTCGACACATCAAGCTGCACAACGAAAAATTAACTCTCAACCGTTTTAGTGCCACAAGTTATTTAAAAAACCGTGTTGGATAGTGTCAGGCAATAACGCAACTGCGAAAATTACCAAACGACGCTGACAAAAGTAGATAAAGTAAAAATTGTCTATTTATGTATTCTATTTCTGATTCAGGTTTAATTGAAAAAAAATAATTAGAAGAGAAAGCTTCAGTATGAGCACATTGTACATTGAGCATCGCGACCAAACGCTATGACACTATTCGACATGAAATCTGAGCAATGCGATCGCTCAAACGATCGCACGAGTGTGTGTAATCAGTGTAATCGGTGAGGCCAGACTGTAAAAGAGATAGCTAGATTTCTTTTCTTCATTGTTCGACAAAGATACGCCGTTGACGAAGCTCATCAACGATACTTTAGCTGGTCTTTGACGTTAGTTTTTACGCGACGCTGAGTGAAATTCATTTGGGTAATGGCCATTGCGAGAAGTTAAGATTGTTTTAATTTCTGTCAGCGGGATCGTTTTTCACGCGAGTCACCGTCGAGAAAGTTTCTTTTATTAATGGTGAGTTTGCGTAGGAGCGAGTTTTCTGGAGTAATTGGAATTTAAGTTAGATACGAATAACGATGAATAGGTACTTATAAGTACGCACGTACGTGATCCCTTTCTTTTGGTTGTTTCTGAATTTTTAAATTGAAATTTGTTTCGCTGTTTGGAATAGGAAGATCGAAGATTGTGAAAATATGCTGGCTCGCATATTAGAATTACGAAATTCGTAGTTTATACTCATGTGTGTATATGTTGGTTATATTTTTTGTTGTTAATGTGCACGCTTCCGCTCGAAAGTTTCAAAACAAGCAAACTATATTCGTTTCAGAACTGAGAGAGTTAAATATTGGTATTTATGGAAAACAAAGAACTTATAAGATATTAATCTATTGAAAATTGTATCATGTAAAATGCACGTGCAACTGAAAAAAATTTGCTTACCTACGATAAATACCGAATACAAAGAAAATAATTTAATAATAAAAATAAAACTAATTTAATAATAAAAAATTTCCCAAAACTTTTGAGCGAGGATATACGCTGATAATATTATACTGTATATTCAGAATTAATTAATATTAAATACTCTCTTTTCGATTTTATTTCTCAGTTCGTAACATCACTCCAGAAGTCTCAGCCCCCCTCTTTCTTTTTTTCCCCGATTGCGCCAGTTCCAATCTCTTTCGCTCGAAACTCCGATCTTCAAGAAATCCTCTTTGATTTCCTCGCAATCATTACGAATAATAAGTTCACTCGCTCTGGTCGCGATAACATTTTCGCCACTTCACCATTTCCGTGGCGCTTGTTGCCGGCCGCGAGCGAATATAAACGGGGGGGAAACGGGGGAAATCCGCGAAAAGAAATTCACGCGCGCGCGAACCATCCGCGAATAATTAAAAATCCTTTCAGACGCAGAATGCAAACGCGGCGAACTACACGCCACGATAAATAGAAACTAAAGTCTAGCGGCGGCGCTCGCGGTATAAGCTGAATTAAAAAGGAATAACTTTCGAAATTATTACCCCTGAAATTTTTTAATTGGAATGAAGGAAATTAATTAAGGAGGGAGATTGTTCTTCGCTTCGCGCTCCGTCGACGAGGCACTTCTTCATTTAAAATTCTCTGGTTTTTCTTTTTTTTTTTTTTTTTTTTTTTTTTTT